ATGGAAAAGAAAGAACATTATTTTATCTATTATTAATTAATACTATTTATTAAATTTTATTGTCATTAAAGTTTAAAAATTAAAAAAATTAAAATTTTAATAGTGTTTAGTAACTATTTTGTTTATCAATTTTAATCTTTTTTTTAAATTTAATTTTAAGTTGTGATTTTATTTAGAGATTTCAATATTTAAAAAAAAAATTAAAATAATGATTATTTACTTATCTTTTATTATTATCTAAAAATTGAAAACTAAATGAATTCAAAATAAAATTATTGCTTTATTAATAAGATAAACAAAATTAAAAAATCTTATTTAAATTTAATTTGAATCTTATAAAGCAAAAAAATTCTTTTAGATTAAGTCATTTATTTAAATTTCAAAATAATAAATAAAAAAATTAAAAAATAGATTGAAAAATGACATCCACCATGCGTCAATATTACAATCTGTGTTCATTTATTTTTGTTTTGATAAAATATATTCAATTATTAGCATACCTTAACTTGAAACGCTCTATATAGACTCTTCTTGAGTACTCTATTACGCCAAACAGAGATATGGGAATTTTCACAATGCTCTCGACCACACTCTGCCTCCTGTTTTTCTTGCTCTGTCTTAAAACTGCCTTTTCATCCTCTTTACACCTCTGCTCTCATGAGGAGGCTGCTGCTTTGTTGCAATTCAAGACATCCTTTCCCATCGATTACACTGTTTGTTATACTAATTATTCTAAGACTGAGTCTTGGAAGGAAGGTATAGACTGCTGCTCCTGGGATGGGGTTAGCTGTGATAATGTCACAGGTCATGTAATTGCCCTTGATCTCAGCTCCGATTGCCTTTCTGGCACCTTTCCTTCGAACAGCACTCTTTTTCTCCTCAAAAACCTAAAGAGCCTCAATCTTTCCTTCAATGATTTTAGGTTTTCCGAGATTCCACCAGAAATCAGTCAGTTTACTAGACTAAAGCATCTTGATATCTCTCATTCTGAATTTTCGGGCCAAGTTCCAGCAGAAATTGCTCACCTCTCAAAGTTAGTTTCTCTCAATCTCTCTGACTTGTTGAGTTTTGAGTATGATAATATAGTCGTTTCGTCTCTTGGTAATTTGATCCTTGAAACAACTACCTTGAGAAATCTTGTTCAGAATTTGAGTGAGGTGAGAGAACTTGTGCTTAGTGGAGTGAACATGACATCTGTTAATCCTCGTTTCTTCATGAATCTCTCTTCTTCATTGACTACTCTTGATCTTTCCTACACTGTGTTAGGAGGAAACTTTCCAAACAGTATTTTCCACTTGCCAAATCTCAAGAATTTTTATTTAGATGGATCTTTTGGAGAGCGAAACCTCACTATTGATCTTCCAAGTTCCAATTGGAGCAGTCCTCTCCAACAGTTGTATTTACATGATGTGGATTGCGGAAGGCGATTGCCAGAGTCTATAGGAGATCTAAAGTCATTACAGTCTCTGAGTCTTTTTTACTGCAACTTAGAAGGTTCCATTCCAACTTCCATAGGTAACTTATCTGAACTTACCTCTCTTAACCTTGCAATTAATCAGTTTTCTGGTCCCATTCCAGCTTCCATAGGTAACTTAAGGCAACTTACCTCTCTTCACCTTTCCTGTAATCAGTTTTCTGGTCCCATTCTAGCTTCCATAGGTAACTTAACGCAGCTTACTAGCCTAGGCCTCTCTTCTAACAATCTTAGCGGACAAATCCCATCATCACTTGCAAACCTCACCCAACTTACCTATCTTTCCCTTTCCTATAATCAGTTTTCTGGTCCCATTCCTTTTCATGCTATTAGGTTTTCCAAACTAAGCGAGCTAGACTTATCTTATAACTTACTTAACGGCACGTTGCCACCTTGGATTTTCACCCTACCTTTGTTAGAGTACTTGTATCTTAATCATAACCAATTTCAAGGTCAAATAAATCAATTCCAGGAAAACTCACTCACATGGCTAGATTTGTCAAACAATAAACTCCAGGGCTCAATTCCTAACTCAATTGCTAATTTAGTAAATCTTAGTTATCTTGATTTATCATCAAATCATTTTAGTGATTTAGTAGAAGCGGACATGTTCTCGGCGCTTCAAAATCTGGAAATCATCTTTCGTTCAGACAATAATCTGTCCTTGAGAATGAATGCCAATGCCAACTTCACATTACCCAAACTAACTTATGTTTCCTTTTCTTCTTGTAACTTGAGTGAATTCCCCAATTTCTTAAGACATTCAAATGGTCTGCAAAACCTAATGCTATCCAAAAATAGCATTCATGGAAATATTCCTGAATGGATATGTGAAAAGGATGATCTCGAAATTCTTGACCTTTCTCATAACAATTTAATGGGGAAGATTCCAAATTGTCTTCCTAAGTTTCTCTCAGTGTTGAATTTGCAGGCCAATTACTTTGATGGAAATATTCCCAGATGGATATGTGAAAAGGATGATCTCGAAATTCTTGACCTTTCTCATAACAATTTAATCGGGAAGATTCCAAATCGTCTTCCTAAGTTTCTCTCAGTGTTGAATTTGCAGGCCAATTACTTTGATGGAAATATACCATTTGGGTTTCTAGAGTTCTGTGTATTACAAAATCTCAACTTACATGGAAATCAAATGGACGGGCTATTACCAAGGTCTTTGGTGAATTGTAGCATGTTAGAGGTTCTAGACGTCGGCAACAACAGCATAGAGGATACATTTCCTCATTGGTTGGAATCTCTACCAGACCTTCAAGTGCTTGTCTTAAGGTCCAACAAGTTCCATGGTTCTGTGCAGAGCACCAAAGAAAGTCCATCTTTTCCCAAGTTGCGTGTTCTGGACCTCTCCAGCAATTATTTTGTTGGTGCTTTGCCTGTTCGGTACATTGAAAATTTTAATGCGATGATGGACCCTCATAAAGACGGTGGTTCCCCTGAATACATGATGGTGGAGACGGGAGCCAATTCTTATCAATATTCACTGGTTGTGACATGGAAGGGATTCGACTATGAGCTGCAGGGAATCTTGACCGTATTCAGTAGTATTCATCTCTCAAATAACATGTTTGAGGG